TTTAAAAAAAATTACATTTTAAAATTCGGACCAACTAAAATTATTTTTTATATATTAAAATTTGAGTCAATTAAAAATATATTTTTTTAAGTCTTAAAATTTGAGCCTATTAAAATTTCATTTGAGGCTTAAATCAAATTTTAATCAACTCATATTAATTTTATTCGGCCTTATTTTTAATACATAAAAAAATATAAATTTTATTGACTAAAATTTTAATACGTAAAAAATAAATTTTAATCATCTTAAATTAAATTTTAATACATAAAAAAATATAAATTTTAATTAATTCGAAGCAAATTTTAGTGAGGACTAAAAACTCAAGTAGAGCTCAAATTGGCTTAAATTTTAATACATAAAAGACTTTTAATAGGCTCAAATTTTAATACGTAAAAAAATAAAATTAATCAGTTTAAATCAAATTTTAATCGACTCAAATTTTAATATGTAGAAAGAAGAATTTTAGTCAGCTCGACTTTTAATATATAAAAAAATGAATTTTAATCTAATTTTATGTAAAAAGATTGTTTTGAATTTGAGGAGGGGCAATTTTAATATTTAGATAATTTATTTTTATTATAAATGGTTGTTTAATGGCAAGAGTGTTGGTGATGTTTAATTATAAATTAGAATGGGTGTTAGTAATATTTTTGATAATAGAGGGGTATCCTTAAGAGTATAATAAATTATAGAGGGTGTGGCTGAAATTTTCCCAAAAAAAAAAAAACAAAATCGAACAACTGTTACAAAAGTAAAGCATGCTTAGAGAGGAAAAGAGATCATTTTCACTCATAATGTGTCGCATTTTTCAATTATTGTAGGAAGAATAATGTTTTATTGACCAAATTTTGAGACTAAATTTAAAGTTTAAATGACATGACAATTGACATGGACTTCTTTATTTGGTGTCATGTTATTTGGACCCTAATAAAAATTTCAAATAATATATTGTCATATCATTTACCCTCTAAATTTAGTTCTAAACGTTACTCTCGCCAGGAAACCACTAGAGAGAGAGTCAATACCAGAAAAGTCATGCCATACTTGATACGTCTGTATCATTGGCAGTCAAAGAAGCACTAACCTTCCGGCAAAAAAAGCAGGGTAGCTTTGATCTTCTTCCATCTCCTCGATTCTGAGAATAGAAATGGGATGGGGCAGAGTTTTTGTTGTTTTAGTCTGTTTCTTGTTCTTCTCATCTATTCTTTGCAATTGATTATTGCTCAACCTTTAAATCGTTCGATGGCCAACTTGTCATATCAATAATGAATCAATAGCCAAGTTGGATCTAATGGATTCAACTTTTGCTAACATACTTCATAAGGAAGCTCTCGCCCAGAATTTTGTGTGGCTTCTATTGAAAAAGAAGTAGTAGCAGCAGCAAATGCATCTTTGCTATTCTTATCTCCACGGAAGAAATTGATGTGAGCAATAAGATCATATCAGAACCGCAAGTAATCTGGTCTGCCAACCGAGACAACCCGGTCAAAATCAATGCCACACTGGAACTCACACAAGATGGAGATTTGGTCCTGGCAGACGTAGATGGAACCTTGGTATGGTCAACAAACACAAGTGGGAAATATGCTTCAGGCTTAAACTTAACAGAAATGGGAAACCTTGTGCTTTTTGATACGAGTAATACAACGGTTTGGCAGTCATTCGATCACCCTACAGACTCGTTAGTTTTCGGGCAGACGCTGAATCCCAGACAGAAGCTGACAGCTAGCATATCAACCTATAATTCCAGCCGAGGTATGTATTCATTTGCAGCTGCCAAAAGACGTTTGATTGCTTACATAGAGTCCAACCCACCGCAGGTCTATTTTGATTCTGAAAATTACTAAATCGGGGACACTTTCGTCAAACTCGGGAAAGGAAGGTACAAATTTAGTCCTGCAAATACAACCCAATTCATAAAGTTGGAGCCTGGTGGACATTTAAAGGTTTATGCATGGGAGGATCAAGTTGGGGACAAGAGCAAGATCTCCTGACAAACAATTTATTCGGTGACTGCGGGTACCCTATGGTGTGTGGAAAATACGGCATTTGTTCAGATGGGCAGTGCAGTTGTTCTCAACAAACCGATTTCTCGCAAATTAATTTTAGACAACCCAATCTCGGATGTTCCCTTAACATACCTATTTCTTGTGACTTTTCTCAATATCATAAGCTTGTGGAGCTTAAGGATATTGATTACTTTGTTTATAGATCAGACCTGAGGGATGAGATGATGGAGCTAGAGGATTGTATGAATACATGCTTGAAAAACTGTACCTGTAAAGCTGCTGTTTTTGCATATAATTCGGATCCTCTACGGGGAGGTTGCCTGTTACTATCTGAAGTCTTTCTCTTATAAACATTCAATCTTCATTCCATCTGCGTAATTCCTCAATGTTTGTTAAAGTGCAGACGAGTTCATCAGGTAGTCTTCTTGCAAAAAAATCAAGGGGAACCCCATCATTCATACTGGGAGCTAGTCTCGGAGCTTTCATTGGTGTGTTACTTATGATGGGGGCTTGCTTTTTCCTTGTAAGAAGGATTACTACATCCAAGGAGGTTGAGGAGGATTATTTGGACCAAGTACCAGGGATGCCCACAAGATTTGCATACAAAAACTTGAAAGATGTGACTGAAAACTTCAACAAAAAACTTGGGGAAGGAGGATTCGGATCGGTCTTTGAATGGACTCTGAGCAATGGCACCAAAGTAGCAGTGAAGCATCTCAGTGCATTGGGTCAAGTAAAGAAGTCATTCTTAGCTGAAATTGAGACAATAGGTAGCATTCACCATGTCAACTTGGTGAGACTGATTGGATTTTGTGCTGAAAAGTCGTATAGGCTTCTAGTTCATGAGTACATGTGTAATGGATCTTTGGATAGATGGATTTTCAGAAGAAACCAAGAGGATGCTCTAGGATGGCAATCAAGAAGGAAGATCATCTTAGACATAGCCAAAGGATTAGCCTATCTCCACGAAGACTGTAGACAGAAGATATTTCACTTGGACATCAAACCTCAAAACATCCTATTAGATGAAAATTTCAATGCAAAAGTTTCTGATTTTGGATTGTCGAAATTAATTGACAAGGACCAAAGCCAAGTTGTCACAACATTGAGAGGAACTCTAGGCTATATGGCACCTGAATGGTTGGGCTCAATTATAACAGAGAAAGTAGATGTCTACAGTTTTGGAGTCATGGTCTTAGAAATTGTGTGCGGGCGAAAAAATTTGGATCGATTCCAGCCTGAGGAAGATAAGCATTTATTATGTCTTTTTCAAAGAAAAGCAAGAGGAGGACAACTTTCAGATATGGTTGACAAGTGCAGTGAGGATATGCAGTTGCATGGACCTGAGATTGTGGAGACGATGAGGCTAGCTGACTGGTGCTTACAGAGTGATTTTAAGAGGAGGCCTTATATGTCAACTGTGGTTAAGGTCTTGGAGGGTTATGTGGATGTTGAAAGCGACTTGGATTATAACTTTGTTGGTCAACATTTATCAAGAACAACTGCAACCATTTGTGAAAAGGAGGACGTTGTTCGTGCTGCTACACCACTTCTGCCATCAGTTTTATCTGGACCAAGGTGAAGAAAAGATATTAAAGACATTCTATGGAAGAACAAAGCTGCATTGAGTATAACATTTGGCTGATTTTTTAGAAGTAACTAATAGACATGCACCCACCCACCTACCCACACACACACACAGGTATATATATAGTTGTGGATTATGTTCACAAATTACTGTGTTGGAATATTAGGGGTACGTTATCCATCGTTATCACCAGAAAACCAAAAAGGTTCAATAAAAATCCCAAATATGTGGACAGTTGCAGGTTGTTACTGATATTGATATAAGTTGAAAAAGTTGAATGATTTTTCCAAGGTCATTTCTCCAATATATTTGAAGGATGGCTCTATCGTAAACAAATATTAGGCTTTTTTTTTTTTTGAAATTACCGTATGACTAACGAAATCCTACAAAGCAATATTTCCCTAATACATTTTGCATTGATTGTTTACCTATTTTATTTTTCGAACAAAGTTTTTTTCAAAAAGGCTAAGCTTAAATTGAATAATTTGAATTTATTAGTTATTTTAAGATTATTATATTAACTAGGTTATATCTGTTTGACTAGAATTGTTTTAGTAATTCTGGATAGTGAGAGTTTGATTAGGAAATGAGTAATTGTTACTCCCTTAGCCATTGGTAGCATTTGACATCGGGTAGCCTCGTCCATAGGCACCCATGCCTTAGCCAAAATGACAGAAGTCCCGTGCATGACTGAGGGAGGCAGTCCATGCACGTGGGCACAAGTCAACATACAAGCAAGGAAGCGGGCGGTTTGAATTGTGGGGCAATACTAGCTTGAATAATGAGTCATAGGCTGGGTCATGGTTAGACACGAATGTAATGCAATTCGGATGCTGAGGGCTCCTGACACATACACAACATGTGAGGAAGTTGGGCATGTGCTTTGCAGATGGTGGCAGTTCTAGGCAGTTCTGAACAGTTTTCTGGCAAATGCATAGCATGTGGGATCTCTGTCAGATTCAGACAAGCATGCAAACACCAATTATAACTTCCCTGTCATCCAATCACAGCAGACCTCTGGTAGCATTTGAATTACAGACATGTGCCTAGGCAGTTGGGCTTGTAACTATCACCCTGAATATTATAAATAGGGTGTTTGGGGTATGTAGTGCAACAAGAGAGTTGGCACGTTTTTGTAAATAGACCCCAAGGTTGAGTTCCTTATACTTTATTGAGAAAGAAAGGTTTGGTTGTTGCCTATAAATTATGTGTGTTTACTTACTGTCCATTCTCTGTTCTATGTGCATTTTGTATGCATTTTAAGTGTTTGGCTAAGACTAAGTGTTAGATCTTAGTGCCATCACGAGGCAGAAATTTGGTGAGAAATTTAACTCCATGACAATTGGTATCAGAGCTTCAGTTTGCGACCATGGCTGGTGGAAATGCTGCTGAATTGCGAGAACATATTGCCCATCTCGAAGATTTTATGGGCGCCCCTCAGACAGATGGTGCAACCAGCGTGGCTGCACAGATGGAACAACACGCTATTCAGATTGCGGGATTACAGATGACTTTTGATAGTTATGTGTCTGACATCGATGCAAAGATTGTAACAATGATGGAGTATATCATATCTCTCACAGACGTTGTCAAAACAAATTTGAAGGATCTTGAAGATGATGTGTCCTTGGTGAAGAGGGCCATGAATTCTCGTCTTATTGTGGGCGAGACATATTCAAAGATTAAAGTCCCTAAACCAAAGGCCTTCGGAGGCACCCGAAGTGCTAAAGATCTGGAGAATTTCCTCTAGGACATGGAGCAGTATTTTAAGGTAGCCCATGTGCCTGATGGAGAGAAAGTAATAATCACCAGTATGTATTTATCTGGTGATGCCAAATTATGGTGGAGGACCCGAAATGTGGACGATGCCTCTACTGGTCGTCCAAAGATCGAGACATGGGAGACCCTGAAAAAGAAATTGAAGGATCAATTCCTCCCTAGCAATATAACTTGGATTGCTAGGGACTCACTCAAAAAGTTGAAGCACACCAAAACAGTTCACGATTACATGAAGGAGTTTAGTTCATTGATGTTAGACATCAAGAACATGTCAGAGGAAGACAAACTCTTCAACTTTATGTCCGGACTGTAAGGTTGGGCACAGGCTGAACAGCGAAGGCAAGGGGTACGTGATCTGCCCACTGCCATTTCTGCTGCAGATGGCCTTGTTGACTTCAAAATGGGCGGCAGCCAAGGCCTTCCTGAGAAAAAGAAGAAGGATGGTAGTGGCAAGAAAGATAAGGCTGGCACTTCCAAAGACGCAAAAAAAGAAGATTGGAAGAAAAAGAAGAATGTTGCTGACTTTAACAAGCCAAACAATAACCAGAAGAAGAAAATTTTTGATTCTGGTTGTTTTCTCTACTACGGCCCCCATCGTGTCAAAGACTGCCCCAAGAGGGAGAAGTTAAATGCCCTTGTTGCTATAAGTGAGAATGACAGTGATGATGACTGTCCTACCCTAGTCAACCCTCTCTAGTTGCTGAATGCAATTACTGCGGGCAAAGTTCAGTAACCCTGTAAAGGCCTCATATTTGTTCAGGCCTGGGTGAATGGCAAAGAAGTTCAGGTCATGGTGGATACTGGAGCCACCCACAACTTTGTTGCCCAGAGAGATGTGGGAAAGTTTGTCCTGAAATTGTCAGAAAATTCAAGCAAACTCAAGGCAGTAAATTCTGAAGCAATGCCAGTATGTGGTACAACAGAAATACGCCTAAAAGTAGGTCTGTGGGAAGGCCAAATGAGTTTGATGGTTGTGCCATTGGACGACTTTGATGTCATCCTAGTGAATGAATTCTTTGTTACAGTGAAAGTGGCATTGATGTCACATCTGAACAGAGTGCTGATCACGGATGAGAAAACACCCTGCTTTGTGCATGCAGTCATGGCAGACCAAAGTAAGAAAGATGGAAAGCGGAAGGTGGGAATGATGTCTACTATGCAAGTAAATACAGGGTTGAAGAAGGGTGAGATGACATACCTCGCAACCTTGGTGGAGGTCAAACCAGATGTGCTGGTTGAAGTACCTGATATTGAGGCAGATGTACTGGTCGAGTTTGCTGATGTTATGCCCCCTAAACTCCCCAAGAATCTTCCACCCAGACGTGTAATTAACCACAAGATAGAACTGGAGCCTGGTGCAAGGCCTCCAGCCCGTGCCCCTTACCGGATGTCGCCAATGGAACTGGCACAATTGAGGAAGCAATTGAACGAGTTGCTAGATTCTGGCAGCATGAAGCCATCCAAGGCGCCATACGGAGCCCCTATTCTGTTCCAGAAGAAGCAAGATGGATCGTTGCGCATGTGCATCGATTATCATGCTTTGAATAAGGTGACTATCAAGAACAAGTATCATGTTCCGAATGTTGCTAATCTGTTCGACAGATTGTCCAAGGCCACTTTCTACACAAAGTTGGATCTTAGGACTGGGTATTAGCAGGTCAGAATTGCAAAAGAGGATGAGCCAAAGACTGCGTGTGTGACGCGTTATGGTTCTTTTGAATTTCTTGTAATGCCGTTTGGGCTCACTAATACCCCGAAAAATTTATGTAATCTAATGAATGATGTTTTTTACGATTACATTGATGTCTTTGTAGTTGTTTACTTAGATGACATTGTAATCTATAGTGAAATGTTGGAAGATCACATAGATCATTTAAGGGCTGTGTTTTCATGACTTAGGGAACACCAGTTGTACGTCAAAAAGGAAAAATGTGAGTTATGTCGCCAAGAAGTGATGTTCTTGGGACATTATATTAGTCAGGGCAAAATCTGGATGGATGAGAGGAAGGTGAAGGCAATTGTTGATTGGCCTGCACCAACCAAGGTGTCTAAACTAAAGTTGTTTCTTGGCCTAGCCAATTATTACCACAAGTTCATTGAAGGATATTCAAAGAAGTGCAATGTCCTGACTGACTTGCTGAAGAAAGACCAAAAGTGGGATTGGAATGATGTTTGTCAGACAACTTTTGAGAAGCTGAAGCATGCAGTATCCTTTGCACATGTACTGAGATTGGTGGACTTTGATCTGTCTTTCGAAGTGCACACTGATGCCTTTGACCGCACCATTGGAGGAGTCCTTGTTCAAGAGGGACACCCTGTTCCCTTTGAAAGTCAAAAATTGAAGGATGTTGAGCAGCGATATTCAGCACATAAGAAAGAAATGACTGTTGTGGTGCATTTCCTTGAAATTTGGAGGCACTACTTGCTGGGAACGAAATTCATTGTTGTGACAGATAAGGTGGCAAACACTTATTTCAAGACCCAGAAGAAGTTGACCCCGAAGCAGGCTCGATGGCAGGAATTTCTTGCTGAGTTCGATTTTGTATGGGTACACAGACCTAGGAGGCAAAATCAAGTTGTTGATGCGTTGAGTAGAAAGGAGGTCCAAGAATATGTTGTTGCATTGTCCAGTGTGCAAACTGACTTCCTGGCAAAGGTCAAAGAATGTGCTCAGACTAATGTTGCTTACGAAAAATTGAAGCAGCAAGTTGGCGAAGGTCTGGTGCGTAGATACTGGATTGATGATGATATGTTCTATGCTAAAGGGGGAAGACTCTATGTTCCTACGGGAGGGGAACTACGACTGGAGTTGCTGCGTGAGACACACGACTCTTAGTGGGTTAGACATCCAGGAGTAGAGAGGATGCTTGCATTGCTGACTCGCTCTTATTACTGGCCCAAGATGGAAGATGATGTTGAAGCCTATGTCAGAACCTGTCTAGTGTACCAACTTGACAAGGTTGAGAAGAAGAAAGCAACAAGCTTGCTACAGCCCCTGCCCATTCGTGACAAACCATGGCAGTCATCCTTAATGGATTTCATTTGCAATCTACCAAAGGTTGATAGCATGTGTTCGATCATGGTGGTGGTTGATCGTTTCTCTAAGTATGCGGTGTTCATTCTTGCACCTCATGTTTGCCTTGCAGATGTTGCTGCAGAACTGTTCTACAAGTACGTGGTGAAGTACTTTGGATTGCCTAAAGATATAGTCAATG